CCCCCCCCCCCATGGCAGCCCATCATGGAATTATGGAATCATGGACTGGTTTGGACTGGGAGGCGCCTTAAAGCCCGTCCAGTTCCATGGGCAGGGACACCTTCCACCATCCCAGGTCGCTCCAAGCCCCCATCCAACATGTCCTTGGACACTTCCAGGGATCCAGGGACAGCCAAAGCTCCTCTGGGAATTCCAGCTTAGCCCCTGGTCAGGTGTTCTGCCCTGATTTGAGGAATTCCAATGGAGGTGTGTCCATGTGCTCCACAGAATCCCTCATTCTCTCTACCCCCATGGAATGTGCCAGTTGCTGGCGCTGCTGCCCTGGAAGGAGGGAAACATTCCATAAATCCTTCTGTCTCCTTGCTGTATTATAATCTGTAGGAGTGACAGGGTTTGGAGCCTTTTCCATGCTCCCTGATGCTCATTTCCAGGCTCTCTTGCAGCTGCAGCTGCACTGGGATTGCTCTGGGATTGTCCCAAGGACATGCTGTCCCTCAGACTGGCACTGGAGGCTCAGGGAATTCCAGAGGGGTTTGCAGGTATTCCAGAGCCTCCAGGCAGCCCCTGGGATCCAAATGCCAGAGGATGCTGTGGGAGCCACCAGGATCCCGTGGCTTTTTCAGGAATCAAAAGGACTTTGGGAAATTGTGCTTGTCCTGGTCTGGGGCAGTTTGTCCCTACAAGGTGTGATGGGAGCAAGTCCGGGCTCTTTGTGCTTGGATAAAGAAAACATGGAACAAAACTGCAATTACCCAAATCAACCCTCAGTTCCAAGGCAAGAAATCATTCCTTGGTAACTGGTAATTAACATCTGCAGAGTGATTTGCATGAGAGTCAGAAACATGTTCTCTGTGACCTTTTCTTTCAAAGCTGACAAAGCAAATGAACGTGGGAGGGGTCGAGGTTGGTTCGGAGGGACAGGATGAGAAGCAGTGGCCTCATGTAGCACCAGGGGAGTTTAAATTGGATATTAGAGGAAAAAAAAAGCGTGGAAAGGGTTGTAAAGCATTGGAATGGGCTGCCCAGGGCAGTGGGGGAGTCACCATCCCTGGAAGGGTTCATAAAACACGTGGATGTGGCACTTTGAGGCCGTGGTTTAGTGGTGACCATGGGGGTGTTGGGTTTGATCTTAAAGGTCTTTTCCAACATCACCAATCCTGTGATTGTGATGTTTGATGGTTGAAGGGTGTTTACCTGAGCCACAGCACAGTTTTTTCAAAGATATGCCAGTTTTCTATCCCAACCCAGCAGCTGGGATCTCTTACCCATCCTCTACCCTCTCCAAACTGGCAGATACAGCTCAGAGAACACCTTTGCTGCTCACATGGGAGCTTTATTCTTTATTCTTTATTTTATTATTTATTATCCCTATGAAGAGATTCTCATGAATACTTTAGGAGACATTTGTAAATAGAGCCTTAATTATTTAAACCCATTTTCCCCCTTCCTTACCTAAGGGCTGCCTTTCATCCACTCAAGCTGAATTTATTGCAGTGCTTAATGATTTTAATTTCAATCAAGTTTTGTATGTACACATCTCTGAATCTTGCACCCATCTCTTTGCCATGGGCTGGTTGGTTTGTTATTTCTAGAAAGCTGCTTTTTTTCCATGGTGGATGGTCATGTTCTCATTATCAGCTTCATCATTCAACTCATCTTGGACACAGCGTGTGACTGGCTCAGGCTCTGGGGATAATCGGGTTGCCAAGACAGCTGAGATCAGCTGATTGTTTTAATTCAGCTGATTGTTTTAATTCAGCCGTTTTCCTGAGGATGTCCAAGCCCCTCTGCTCTGGTCTGGTGAGATCCCACCTGGAATCCCATCCAGCTCTGTGGTCCCAGCATAGGAAGGACGTGGAGCTGCTGGAGCGAGTCCAGGGGAGGCACCAGGATGAGCAGAGGGATGGAGCAGCTCTGCTGGGAGGAAAGGCTGGAGAGTTGGGATTGTTCAGCCTGGAGAAGAGAAGCTTTGGGGTGATCAAATTGTGGCCTTCCAGGACCTGAAGAGGCCTGCAAGGAACATGGAGAGAGATTGTTTCCAAGGGATGGAGGGACAGGACACAGGGAATGGCTTCCACTGCCAGAGGGAGGGTTATATGGGATATTGGGAAGGAATTCCTCCCTGTGAGGGTGGGCAGGCCCTGGCACAGGTTGCTCAGAGAAGCTGTGGCTGCCCCTGGATCCCTGGAAGAGTCTAAGGCCAGGTTGGAAAGGGCTTGGAGCAACCTGGGATAATGGAAGGTGTCCCTCTCCATGGCAGGGTGAGGGGCTGGATGGGCTTTAAGATCCTTTCCAACCCAAAACATTCTGGAATTCAATGACTATTTCCATTTAGTGGTCAGATCTGTTGGTCTCAGCAGAGCTCCAGGTAAAAAGGGCAATCACAGAATCATGGAATCATTAAGGTTGGAAAATCCCTCTAAGATCACCAAGTGAACCCCTCAGCCCCTGAGCCACAACCCCAAGTGCTCCTCATGTCAGGGGGGTGTGAGCTCAGCCCTCTTCCACCCTGGAATCCTTGCAGGTGGGATAAGGGACCTAAATCCTTGGATAAACTTAGGTTTGTGGAGGTGAAGAGAAGTGGTGGGGAAAGGTGGGATTGAAGACAAGTGGTGCTTCTCAGGAACACCAAAACAAACCAAGCCCACTCAGTATCTACTAAATCAGATTATTTTAAATCAGATTATTTCTCCCCCCTAGGAACCAACCTGAGTTCACCACTTCCCTTTCTCTGGTCCTTGCTCACCCATAGCCCTGGTTTGGAGCCTTTCCTGGGGCCCAGGACATGGGTTAAGAGGTGACCTGGCAGCCAGGGCCGTGCCTGGTGTCACACCAGCTGCTCAGGTTTTCCCCTGGCTCCTGCTCCGCTGAACAAACACTCCAAACCCCAAATAAAGACAAAGCTCCACCAAAATCCACAGCTGCTCCGGAGCCAGGCAGGGCTCATTAACTCAGAGCAGGTGCTGCTGCAGGTTTCCATCCATGGTATCCAACAATCTGCTCAAACCCAGCATCAGGAAAGCCCAGGAGGGAAGGAACCATCCCTGGGATCCGTGTGTAGCAGTGCAAGTGTTATTTTCGGAGCTGTTACTCGGGGTTTTCGCTGCCTGTGGTTCGTTTTTTCACTTCCTACGCCCCAAATGTCACTCAGCCAGAGGCAGGGGGTCCACCCAGTGCTCACAGTTCCATAGTTAGGCCCAGAAACCCCAATTAATGTGTGGGCTCACCCTGCCAGGTGCCCCAGAACCCCCTAAAGGGCAGCAGTTGCCCCGAGGGGCAGCACAGGCAGATGTTTGAGTGTCCTAAATTCTTCCCCCAGAGTATTTTTCCTGCCTATTTTAGCAAAGTCAGAGCTTTTATGGGGAAAAAAACCACCAAAAAACACCTCTGGAGCTTTCAGAAATTCTATCCCAATGTAAGTTTTCCAAGGGTTCAGGAGTACAAAGGTTCCTTTCCAGCTGTGCTGCAGGCAGGGAGTTGCCTTCGAACTCCAAATCCCCCGACCCCCAAACATCTCAGCTGATTTTGTGCTCGTGGGCACTCAGAATTTAAACTGAACTTCGAGTGCTTCAGACAGGCCTGACAACCACAGTCGAGTTTTGAAGCCACAGAGCCACTTTTTGAAACATTATCCCAATTTTGTCTCCTAGTAAATAAGTTGTTTTAAAGCCGAAATCCTAAAATCACTGAGGCTTTCAGTGACTGCCTCTGCTTTTACTCTTTTTTTCCCAGCCACAAAGCCAAATTATACAGGGTATATCCCCTGTAATTCCTTTTCTGGCCCTATCTTATCTCCAGCTCTTAGCTGATGTGATTGAAAAACTCTGCCATTCCGTGACAGAAATCCCAATAGGGAGCCCTAAAGGCCCTCCCTGTTCTTCAGGAGCAGGTCCAGCCACTTTAAAATGGTGCTCTCTCTTTAGAT